TCGTTGTCGCTGTTAAAGGCGGTTCAAGCTCTCTAATGATAGAGATTTAGTGATGAGGACATTGATGACGGGTGACAGGTAATCTTATCAATCGATAAAAACTGATACGATACCATCTGCGCTAACCTCTCACCGCTTTAATGCCGAGTATTCGAGGCTCAGATTGTGAAAATTTCCTTTGGCCAACAATAACCATGCAAGCGTAATATCCCGCGGGCGTACAGAATGCATGTAGTGCAAACATAAAACAAAAAACAATATGCGAACCCCCACTTTTCCAGAGGAGGAGAAAAACTCAACTATCAAATTAAATTTGTCCTACCCCACCCCAAATACGACCCCCCTCCCCAGAGCAAAAGCATGATCCCTCATGTGTTTCACATAAAGGTGCTGTACCCTGTCTGTGTTGTATGGCCGTTATGGCGCGGACCGCAAGTATAAGCGTTACTATGGAACGCAGGATCCGCAGGGTTGCTCTATCTGTTATGATTGTACCAATACAGAGCTGTATGAGCAACGCATTGATTAAAAGAGTTCCGTTCCCCATTATGGAGCGCGCCTGGCGAAGCCAGGCCAGCTCGGCGAAGCCGAGCCAGAGAGAAGGAGGAGAGCTCGGCGTCAGCCGGGCGATCCGACTGGTAATACTTAGCATTTGAGATGAGTACTACTCTGTTTTTTGGTGGACAAAGGCATGCTTAGAATATCATCAAAGCGGTAATATCTCACCGAGGCACGTCGTGCGCTGGGGTTCTCCAGTCGGTTGGTCGCTGAAAGAAGGATTTTGCCTTTGAGGAAATTGTTTTAAGTTATTGATTTTTTTTTTTGGTTCTCTTGCTTCATGTGTAATTTACCTCTCCCACCTCGCCTGACGGGAGACAGTTGGAGGAGACAGTTTCTTCTTCAGTTTTTGAAGAAGAAGCAGAGGAATTTTGAAAAAAAACGTTGGAGAATTGGCAGAAAGCCGGGAAAACTTTCGAATATGGTAGAGATGATGTTGGATGGAGGGGATCGTATTAGGGAAGGAGTTTTAATGGGGCCGTATTACGTGAAATTTCTCCCTATCATCGTAGGAGCGTGACCCCATGTATCCCATTAGAACGGCGGCAGTCACGTTTTTGATGAAGTACGGCAGGCCACGTGCTCCAACGGCTTTGAAATTATGGGGTATACTTAATGGGTGCGTATTCGCCAGCATTAAATTGAAGTTTATTATTCAGGCTAAGAATAGAGAAGAAGGTGGGGCGAAAGCGGCTGAATACAACAGATTACATAAGAAGAATGAGTGATATGACGCCACCTGTGGACGATGCACCACCGGAGTTGAAAGAGAAAAGGCAGCAGTTTGAAGAGAACAGGTTGGCTTAATGAGATCAGTATATTTCTGAAAGTAATTTTATTTCTATTTTCTAGAGCGAAACTCTGCACATTGAACAATGACTTGAAAATGCTCGATTGGATGGCAAGTGTGACGGATCCGTCCCTTTTGAAAAAAGTCGATAAAATGGCAACGTCCGTACGAGAGCGGGAGTAGACATTGTTGGTTTTCTGTCTATGTCACCGCACAAAATTATCTTTCCCACTCACTTTTGCATGAGGGATACGTCGCATACTGCTCGCGGATATGTCAAGGTATACGCTATACAGCTTTTGGGCTACGTTGTCCGCTAACTTCTTTACAAACCACTGAGAAAATCCCGATTTCTCCTGTGGACATTATCTGGTACGGTGAATGCAGTACATCGTGACGTGTGAGATTGGTGCCGACAGTCGCGCCCCCCCCCCCACCTAAAAAGGGTCTCGGCACGTTTCCCCCACGTCCCCAACTTTTCACCCCGGGAAATCACGCGAAAAGTCAACAACCGAGGGAATTTTTGCCCAAAGCGGCAGATTTCTTTCGCGTCCACATGCCCCCCCCCCCCTTTTTTTTTCACAACAACGACTGAATACGACCCCCCCTCCCCAGCCGAAAAGTACGACCCTTATGTATTTCACACAACGATGCTGTACCCTGACCATAAATGCGACATATCCATGGCATAAAAACTTGCGCTTTGTTTCCCATTGAAAGAATCCGGGTACTCTACATTATTTGTTGTAATGTTGTTGGATGTTTTGTGAAATAATAAAGTGATTTCTATACTAAATATTGTTTTGGAAGACGTGACTGGGTAGATCTACCAAATATTGGATTGTACAGTGTTCACTGATGCGTTTATCCGAGCAATCATCTTCTTGAAGATGCCGAAAACGTCAATCTTCAAAACACGTGTAGGAACAGAGTTACTTATGGGAAAGGTAGTCAAGCTCAGTAACATTGGCATCGATCATGTTCCATGTGCACAGGTAACAAGGTTTTTTTGTACTCACATACAGTTCGCGAAGGTCTAATCTTAGGTGAGATGCAGTATGAACGAGTTCAATGTATACCTGAAGAAGTACTTTGCCCGTGCATTTGAGTTTTGGGCTCTGGATCGGTGAGATGTTAAAATTACTGCAGTATCAATTTAGACAACGCTATTGTCAATATTTTGCGAGCATTGCGGTCTGTCATAATCTTTGCGACACCACACGTATTGCATAACTTGCGTCACTCCACATAAGATTTACTGGAGTGGGAGGGGTGGGGGTGTGAGGAGGAAGAGCGATTAGCTAACCAGGAAAGCTCCAGGTCAGTCCGGTTATCTGCAATTAACTTGCACGTCATTGTACGCATTCTGAGAGCTCCAATCTGCCACTGTAATGCGCTATATGATCCTCTGAACGAGTAGAGTTATTGGGGGTGCTTCCCATTTTTTTTTCTCCAAGGCTATCGAAGAGGCTCCGCCAACTTTGGCGCACATAGCCACTTTCATGCGAAACGGATGCGATAGTCGTTTTCAGACGTCAGATAACCCCAAGCGATGGCACTCTGGCGAATTCTGAGGTTTTGACCAAAACTTCGAAAAAATGGGGTTGGATAACTTATTAATGAACCAGATACACAGTAGAGCACTTCCCTCTACAACTGCAAATTGGTGGATTCCAACCTAAACGCAGTTCTCAATTATTCTGTTCTACTTCACGATATATTTGCTTCCAAAAGCTTTACACACGGCCTTTGCAGAGAATCAAAAGGACAGCTTGGCGATACTGTGCTGATACGACGAATTGGAATTGATCAAAGGCCTACCACTAATGTTGCTCATGCTATTGATCGTGTTGTATTTAAATATGGTAGCTTTTTCAGTGTACATTCTGCTTTGATTGGGTTATAATGCTCCAAACGCTTCAGCTTTCATCTATCGATTTAATATCTATGAATGTTTGACGGATTCAGGTAACATTGTCGATCCTGTGACTGGTAAACGTGTCATTAAAGACGAATTTGCTGATGAAATTGAACTCCGTCGTCAACTTGTAGGAGAGATCATTGACGCTCCATTAGAACAGGTGAGACATGCCTTCATCTTCTTTCGTCTTCGATCCTCGTTTTTCCACCTAGTTCTCTAGCTAAGGAAAAAACGTGCAAGCAACAGTTGGGCCCCGCTTAACAACGGGCCGTCCTAGGGTCAGATTCAGCACTGGCTCGCCGTCCCCATGTTGACGAAAGGGCTTTCCTTCTCCTGGGGGCGACAAGTTGTGCTAGATTTGTCTAATAGCCAGAGAAAAAGAGCAATAGCTTATACATAGGCACCGCAGGTCATGTAGGGGACCTACTTCATTCAACGAGCCGCTACGATTCTGAGCGGAAGTACACTCAAAATCCCTGAGACGGGGTAAGTGTGGCTGCGTACTTGAACTAAACCTGACCGTGGCTGTGTCCGAGGAGATATTTTCATTTTCACATAATTGTGTCGTGTCACTGTCCAGCACTGAACAAGATGGCAGTTGTCTCGAACTGGAATATCTCACGAGTAACCTATTCTGTGCCATGCTGGAATGCCGCGCCTACTCCATCTCAGGGATAAGGAGTATAGGAGGCGTGGCACATCCCAAGAACGGATTGATCAACAGCGAATATTCAACACGTTGTTCTTTGTTCTCTTTCTACTAATGGGCGAAGGTGGTGTAGATAGTGACTAATGTGGAGTGACAAGTAGCCCACTACAATTTGGGAATCAGATTTCGGTGGTCCACCTCCCCCCGCCCCTTCTCCCCAACCCAGGCGAGCTCTCCAGTCGAACAGGGCTAGCTAAATTGCACCAGACTCGTCTGAGATGGAAAAAACTTAGCTTCCCGTCCTTGCAAAATCGTTATGGCAGGACCGATATAATATTCAAGACAGCTCGAAACAGTCGTTACGATTCTGAATGTGTTAGCCTTTTCTATTCCAACTGGAAACTCTCTGTGCGCTCATTATCGAACGGTTTTAAATCATTGTGACACAGTGTAGCTCTATGATGAGGTTTTTGTTGTTTTAAATCATTGTACTTATTGTCGTGTGATACGCGGAGGCCTGCGACAAATAAGCTGTACGTTGTACATTACGCAGGGGCGTCAGAAATAATCGAATCTTATCATATCCATTAAATGCTAGTGCCTTTTTGTATTGTGATACATTCCCATCAAAATCTTTGTAGGACGCCTTGTTATTCGATGAACGACGGGCAATTCAGCGTCAAGTGTTAGAGGAAAAGCAAGCTTCTTTGGAAGAGAACTAACATTATTATTACTCCCTTTTAGTGTTCATCATACTTCCGGTGGCATGTTCTGTGAGAAAAAGTGGAATAAGTAAAACAACATATGAACAGGAAAAAACTGATTCGAAAATTAGTAAGAAAGAGGACAGTGTGGAAACTTACTGGATTTCCCATTGGATTACTATTCTGCATCTTTGATCAATCGTTCTGTCAAGGCGGGAAAAGCCTAAAACCTTACACAGTAGGGACAGATTATATCTCTCTACATTAAGACTTCAAAAAAAAACCGAACGTCCGACTTCAAGTACGGTAAAAGTAAGGAGTGACACCTTCACAATGAAGCTAACAGGTTGTGATTCTTTAACTTCATACGATGCAAGACTACATAAACCGTACAAACTGCAACACTTAACTTTGAAAATGGAGATACTGGATGCCTACTTCGTGATCAACAACACGTTGTAGACCCGTATTTCAGAAATCAGAAGATCAAATGATGGATAAAACGATAACATACCAAAGACCTATTAATGCGTAAAGCAAGTAAATTGTTATATCAACGGGAGGCATACTCAAAAGTGATTACATGTCATGATCCAAAGTGAGTGTAACCGGAGAAGAAAGAACAAAAAAAAGAAAGATGGAGGGCCATGTATAAAGGCTTGGAGGACTACTTTTTAGCAGCCTCTTTGATCATTCTACGAGCATGCATGAACGCTCCTACTAAACCTCCTATCTGGAATGCGATCCGAGGCGCCAACTGCCTAAACGTTGTTCGGTGTCAGCAAGCGCAGAAATCAGGCAAACCATCACCTATAATAAAACGCATTAAAGGCACGAAAGGCAGATAGGATCATTATAAGTATGGATCCAGAGCGATAAATCATTTAAACGTCTTCCAGAACGGAATCACCTTTTGCAGCGATTTCTCCCCACTCTAATGCGAACACTATTCGAAATCAGCTCAAGGGGTGAAAAATACGGATTGGCGAGCATCCCCTTCTCCTTTCGCTTATCGCTATATTCCGCTCGCGCATTTCAAAAACACTTTCTGTAGGCAAGATGTCCACCAACCTTCCGGCAGCTACAGGAAAAAGATGGAAGGTCGTGCTCTGTCCTTACAATTATGCAATATCATACATAGCGTCCAACTTCTCTCTTCTAAAACCTCGGCATAATTGCAAACTTTGCAGTTTGCTGCGCCAATGAGGTATTTTCAGGTCTAACTTTCATTCAAAATAACCTGACTTTTTGACTGGGTCATCCCCTTAGAGGTCCACCATTGCATCGCGGAACGACGCCACTCAGTGATAGCTTTATTCATCGAAAAGTACTACATCATTAAATTGATTAGGTCTCAACTAACAACGCCGTTCCACTCACGCACTGATGAACTGACCTCTGTGGACGACTTAGACAAAACGTCAGGCTAAATTCCATAAACGTTCCACATAAGAAGTTTTTGGCGCAACAAAACGAAGATCAGAATCAGACGCAGCGTTTGAACAGGGTGGACTCCATAATAGGTATAGTCCTATGTGGAGTTATACAAAAGCCGTCGCGGGGGAGGGTAGGACGCCATTCCTAACACCTGACAGTCGCACAAGGCCCAGATCTCATATTAATGGATATGTAAACGTTATGAAGGTAGAGAAAGAGAGGAGTCAGAAAGAATCTCATGGAGAAGAAACCATCCGTGCAAGTTCGATTAATTTCGAGTCGCAAGATTAGAAGATAGATTCATGGGTGAATAAAGACCGCAGATTTCTCGCTTTTTGAAATAATGCTGAGAACGACGGTAACAGTAAAAGCTGTCACTCGAGAAAAGTGAAGAAAAACTTACATTCGCGGGCAAATCCAATTGAAAAATAACATCATGCAACCTCGAAAGCACGTCGATCAAAGCATAGCCCTCTCCACCACATTCTTTTTCTAACTCTGTAAGGTTCTACCATCAAAAAATGCGCAAAGCGGCAGAAATTCAAATAAAAGTAGATCACTCCTCAGAGCTGCAATAAAAAAACGAACTCCGGCAACATGATGCAAACGAATCGTTCATCAGAATCTGCAAAATTTTCTCAATGTGTTTTGGTGTAGGTTGTCCAACGCATTCGTATACACTTGTTTCATCAATAACCGGAGAAGCCATTGCGACACTCTAAACACTTGGGTTGACTGGAAAGCTGCAATATTCTCAACAAGGAAAAATTAAAAATGCACTGTTCAACTATTACTACCCAATTATATGATATCAGGCCGCCAGTTTTGCTTTTCGACGAGAGCAGATTTCGCGGGAAAATTTCTGCTAAAAGGAGTGGTTCAAAACCTTCTGACACAAATATTCGAGCAAACCGCTTGCCCGATGATCTCCTGACGCCCGCGCCACAGACACCGGAGCAAAAGAACAGTAGCTCACCAAATTTGCTGAAAAGTTGTTCCCAAGGTAGTACGACCTCCTGAACGCAAACATCACATTTCTTCAGTCTGAAACCGCCTGACGCATGATTCGCAAGCGACTCATCCCATGCTTGCCTACGGACCATAGTCGATTCCGTGCCAAGCGGTGTGCTAGGATAGTTAGGGAGATGGTGAAAAGTGCCACCTTTTTGGGTTGCTTGTAATAGTGAAACTCCCTTTACTAAGGCGCAGCGTTAACAGAGTAACAGATCACATTCTTGTGGAAAGGGTGCAGGCGAGAGAAGCAGAGAGCGCCATCTTTTGTCTACCTTCACTCCACACTTAATCTTCCTAACACTTCAAAAAGATGCAATATTAGTGTTCAGGAGGTAAACTACCCCAAGAAGTAGGTTTTTGGCAAACTTGGTAATTCTAGGGTATTTTAGCGAAGTCTGGGCAAGCGGATGGGATATTCGTGTTCATAAGGTCGAACTGCCCCAGATGGCAGCTTTTTAGTCAAGTCTGCCCTTGTATAAAACCGTCGGGTAAAAGTGGCTTGATTTTGCATGATTGGGGCAGTTAAGGGTGAACACGGCCAAAAATTGCAATAATTTCACGCGGAAATAACGAAATATGTGTGAAGAGTACCTGAAGGACATTTAAAACACGTCGCATATCGCCGCCTGACAACTTCAACAGCGCTTGTTTGCCGTCCTCAGTAACCGAAGAGCTTTTCCTCCGTAATCTAAGGAGACATATATGGGTGTTAGCAGATATTCTCAGAATGGAAAGATGCACCTACCACGTGATTAAGTTTAGGCAAGATATGGTCAATAGACAAAGGGGCAAATCGAAATCGGGTACACCTGAAAGTAAGTGGTGAAATGGTGCTAAGCATCACACCTTTCAAAAAATCAACTTACCGAGATTGAATAGCAGGAATTATAGAGGAGAGGTAGTTGCAGATTATACAAAAACGAACATTTGAAGTGTATTTCTCTATGACTCTGAAACCAGCATACTCTGAAACTATTTGAAAAAACTGGTAAGAAAGGCAAAAAGTACCGTCTCAATGCATTCTGTGCATCCTTTGTCATAGCGTCGGCTTCATCGAGAATTACAAATTTTAGGTCCGTTGTTTCCTTATCTCTCTGGAGTGACTTCGTCTGCGCAAATGTTATGATCTCTTCCCTGCAGTTCAGAAATACGTACTGATGTGAAGCAAAAAACAAAAGTAGAGGAGAAAGTCCGCACAGTGGGATAAAATATTGAAACTTTTTTCTTTCCAGAGAAAAGAGAGGAGATTATGAGGGTTAGCGAGATCCCCAAAACATAAACATAATAAGTCAACATAGGAACATAATAGTCACAAAATTAGTTGTTCCACGAGGGGGGGGGAGGGGTGTCGCTGAGTTGCAATGATGTCCTCTACTCAGCACTGATGTGGAAGTGCTGCAGGACACCATACATAACGCTCACCTCAGGAATATTAAGAGTTGAATTATCATTTGAAAGCACGCTCCGCGTTTATTTGATGTTCAGGCGTCGCCTTTGGACGAGGTGATCCAGTTCGCAAATACAGGAGGTACCCCTTTCGCAGCTCAAAAACACCTCAGGAAAGCGCGACCATCCTGCGATCAAGTAACCACCCCACCCAATATCTTTAGCAACACCCAACTTTCATTAGTGAGATTTCCTGATGGTGCGCTTATTCCGCCGCTAGCTCTTCCCATTTCGAATGGAGTGAGGTGATAAAGAAAATGCGGCGACACCAAAGTGAAAACTTGTCCGACCACGCCCTTCTTCGCATGTGCAAGTGCGGTTCAGGATGGGGCTCTATATGGGGTATTTTTTTTCTACATTGTATCTTTCTCGTGTTATTTGCCACCTTATCATCAATATCCCAGCCGCATAAATCATTTTTGGACGCGGAGCGTGCCTCCAACTTCCAACTCAGGTTTTCAATTCCACCGACTTGATTCTATCGGTTTGGGAGCTAGGATTCATAAAAAGTTACGCAATTATTTTGCCACATTAACACTTACACGTTTTCATTTCCAAGCTCCAGTTTCGATTTCTTTCAATTTCTGGACCCCAGTTTTCAATGTACCCCAGTTTAAACTACAGCAGTAAAAGTGTGCAAGTTGTATTACTTGCGTTTCCGGAACTCCAGAAAGTCCTGTGATCCTTTTCATCGTACTTGCTATATTTGTTTTCGAAATTGTATTTTGGCCAAAGGACACATGACTGTCATCCTCTTGACCATATTTTCTATTTTCTGCTTTTGATCTCATTTGTCGGGCTAACAAGATAAAAGTGAATAATCGAAATAGTTCCAGGCGAAGGAAACACAAAGAAAAACAATTTGGGATCGCCCACCTCACGATCCCGATTCCTCTATCGTCAGAAGCATTAAGCTCAAGTACCATTGATTTTCGCTGTTTGTCCGAGTACATTGTGTTCACTACTGCCAATATAGCACTTGTTTTACCAGTACCAGGTGGTCCATAAAACACAAGTGTGGTAATCTGTCCGATTTCACGAAGCGAGTAACTGAAATGTGAAAGCTCAAACAAACACGTATATAGCATGGACTACTTTGTCACTGAATTTCATTCCTAATCTTAATGGCAAAATTGTGCGTGAATCTGAAGCAAGCTATGTAGGCAAAAGAAGACGGAAAAGGAAAAAAAGAGGTAGGACATTAAACATACGGGTCTTGATTATTTCCTCATGAGATATCATATCAGACAGGGACTCTGGCCGATACTTTTCTACCCATGGTAAGTTGATTACGGCCGGTGGCAACGGCATATCCACCTCCATCATCCTGCCTGAAATAAAAACACAACTTCAGAAGAAATTCATGCCGGATCTATTCCTCATAGAAAATTAAGGTACTACGCGAAACAGGTTCATAGCAATCTTCTATGGGTCTAATATAAGAGAAAAGAGAGATAATATAAAGTTCTATGAGGTGATGAGAAGGAAACAGGAGCAATTGAGGAAAAGAACCCTCGAAATTTCACAGCGGATTCGCGCGCTAAATCAAGCCGCGCGCGGCCATCGCACATGGCGAGGAGCGCACCAACGACGTTTTAGCACTTGAATCCCCCTGCAGCGGAATTCCTCATAAACACCTCATATGCTCATATGGTATAGAAGTAGTTGCTGAAATTTCAGCCCGAAATTTGGAAAGGAAACCTCTGACTTCCGTCTAAGGGAACTTGTCAACCGGGAAGCCTCTCCTCTCTTCCATTTTCTTCTTCCTCCTTCCTTCTTTCCCTTCCTTCTCTGATCCCTCCTCCTTTACCTTCTCCCTCCAACTACTGGACTGGTTGATGCCTCGTGAAAATACCCCTGGACCCTCGCGGCGAGAGCACTTCTGGTTGACAAACAGCCCATGATCAACTATTCCCTTCAGTAACCTCATTGTGCAATTGGGGCCACCGTAATCAGACGAACTATTGCACAACGAATGAATGTCGCCAGAATTTCGGCACCCAGCCCATTTTTAAATTGCCTAAGTCACCAAATCCGCTAAAAACTTGTATATAGGGGTAGTTTAACATCCTGATTACGAATATGACATTCACTCTTGTCGCTGGCGCTAATGGATGACACTACGATTATCTGCGCTCTGCTAAGGCTGAGCCCAGGAGGTAATCGTAGTGTCCTCTCTTGGCGCCAGCGCCAAGAATGAGTCATACTCGTAATCAGGATGTTGAATTACCCCTATATACAAGTTTTTAGTGGATTTGGTGACTTAGGCAATTTAAAAATGAGCTCGGTGCCGAAATTTCTGGAGTCCAAACGGCATCAGCCCTGTCCATTGCCCGCAGCGCACGTCGAACTCTGGGTAATCCCCAGCCAAGGGTGCGGGGTTCGTAGCAGAAGAAGGAATCCCGGGGGGGGGGGGGCATCGCATTTCCGGAAATTCCCTGTGGCGGGACCATGCTCACCTCTCGCGGAAGGTTTCAGGGCAAGATGCTTCCTTCGTAATCGCTCCAAAGTGCGGTAGAGCGCTCTCTTCTATTTTGAATCTCTTTTTTGAAAGAAATAAACAATGGCTGCACTGAATGGAATATTTTACGATTCTTTCGATAGTAGATAAAGGCGTCAACGCTAGACGATATAACTGAGATAACTACTGGTTAAAGCAAGGCAAGGATAAGTCTATTGGGTTGATCAATCCGTTTTGGGATGCGCCGTTCGTCCTACGCCTACTCAACGATTGGCACTGATGGTTAGAATACGTTGCACAGGCCAACCGGTGTCCAAAGCAGTTTTTATTCCTTCGGACGGGTGTTGTGAATACAGTCCAAAAGACGATTTGTCATTCTTGGCCACTCAAAGTTGTAAGGACAAGAAAATTCAATATCGCATATCGTTTGTTTTAAAAAAAATGAGCTTTTCGTATCGTTGCAGTGAATCGCGCTCAGAAGTCATCAGCAAGAAGCTACGGATTTCGCTTGTAACAATCTGAATCGTGGCAGCGCCACGTTTTCAACTCCTACTCGAAGTTGCGGTGTCTTTGCATATTCCGCCTACGCGATTACTGTACATCTGTGGCCTAGCCGATGCCCAGTTAGTACAGTATGGACAACAGCCATACAATATCTTATATTAGGTTGTCCGGAAAGTTCTCAGCGTTTTGAGTGTTTCACTTTAAACGATCATAACTTTCTTAATACTCATCGATTCAATCGAAATAAGCACCGTTCGAATCAGCACACTTTTGCCAATGTGGCAGCAGTCGAGAAATCCCATCAAAGAAAAAACTGGGTGGTCGAGAATCCACGAAATCTGCGAAGGTCTTTTTTGCCTGGTCCTGTTTGATGAAGTATTTTTTCTCAGCAATGTTGGTGAAAGGTCTGGAAAATGAGGCGGGTGAGGTAGAACTTCAACCTCCAATTCGTTCAAGTTCGTATGAATAGTGATTTGTGAAACATGTGGGCGAGCGTTGTCATGCGAAAGAATCGGACCAAGTGCTGGCTGCAGCTGACGCAATTTTCGGTACATTTCGTCGATTTCTTCACAGTAGGACTCTGCTGTGATGGTTTGGCCTGGTGACAAAAAGTTATAGTGGATCACACCAGCCGATGACCACCACACTGTGACCATAATCTTTTTTTCGTGAGGATTCGGCTTTGGAAATTGCCTCGGTGGTTCGTCGGCATCCAACCACTGTCCGGAACGTCTCCTGTTATCATACATGATCCACTTTTCATCACAGGTGACAATTCGGTTCAAAAACGGGTCGTTTCTGTTGCGCAAAAGCAGTGAAGAGAAACCTCGAGACGTGCCAATTTCTGCCGGTCACTCAAATTGTGGGGCACCCACTTGTCGAGTTTTTTCACCTTCCCAATGCGTTTCAGACCATCCGCAACAGTGGATTTGCCAACGCCTAGCTTTTCTGCAATCTCTCGAACTGTTTGGGATGGGTCAGCCTCCACAAACGCCTTCAAATCCTCGTCAGGTATTGCTTTAGGTCGACCGCTACGAGGTTCATCTTCAAGGCTGAAATCTCCAGAACGAAATTTGTCGAACCATTGTCGCACGGTGCTTTCTCCAACACTATTGGGCCCCCCCACACCTGGTTAATTTGTCGAGCTGTCTCGACTGCGGATTGACCCAATTTGTAGTTGAAGAAAATATCGTCCGAAGTTGCTCTTTTGACATGCTTCAAAAAGTCTTGGGAAAAGGGGGTTTATCAAGCAACCATTCGGATCGGCCGTCTTCGCCGGGCGATCCTCCT